GTCCCTCACCTCATGAGAATGACTGAGATTCTCTAATGTCTGTGGGAATGAGCTAGAGATTTCCTTTGATGGGCTCGGAAAGACAAAATGTTTCAAGAGATGTCCTGGCTACTCTCCACTCCCCTAGTCACCAAGTCATTAAGGAATGTTGTACGACCTTCAGACTGTACCACAGACAGACAGACCCTCCTAGATTCACACCGGTTCAATGGATGGCCATCTGCCAAAACGAACATTTAAGGTAATGGATGTAGTCTATGGCCATGCCACCCTGAACACGCCTGATCTCATCTCATCTCATCTCAGAAGTTAGTGGATGTAGTTAACAGATAGGTCCCCTCCACTCCACTCCCCAACTGGCCTTCTTGCTTTCCTTCATGAAAATGTTACTCAAAGTAACAAAGCCACAAGGAAAATCATGCCCCTCTGAATAATTGTTTGAATCACTAAGTTAGGCAAAAGAACAAAGCTATCAAAAATTCATGCTGGAGAAATGACTCGGTGGTTAGGAATTCTCATTGTTCTTACAGAGGATCCATGTTCACTTCCCACACTGGCAAAGTGGCTCATAACCATCTATAACTTCAGTTCTAGGTGATCTGATGCCCTCTGACTTCCATGGGTACCAGGCACACATCAGACCTATTAAATGAATAAGTCTAAAAAATCTTTTTAAAAGCTAACAAGAATACTAAATCATGTTTACTTGTAAGTTTATCACAGCAAATGACTGTACTAGAATATTACATGGTATTATATTTTCTAAATCAGTAGTACCTCAAATATATACATAAATGGAGGGTTTTGGCAGCAGATGTATAAACTGAGGACATGACCACTCCATTCTCCTACGGTTAAGGAAAAGGGTTTTTTTATTTTATTTTTTTATTTTTTTATTTTTTATTGTAGATAGGAAGGAGAGAACAGCCAGAGACATCTGGGAAAGTCCAGAGCAGCGAGAGGAAGTAGTAGATGTAACATGGCCAGCAGACTGGTCCAGAGCTTGAGAGAGGAGAGAGCAAGAGAGGAAGACAGAGTGAGGGTGAAGGAGACCAAGAAAGAGCAACAAGAGACAGGGGACCAAGAAAGATTAAAAAAAAAAAAAAGGGAGAATCAAGCTAGCTTAGGAAGGAAGTTTATATAGGAATGAGAAGCTGGGGAAGGGAAGGCCATGAGCTGGAGAAGTTTAGGGTAGGTCAGGGTGTGGGAGAGCAGAGCTGAGAGGAGCCACAGGTACTGACTGAGCCTGGAGGCCAGCATGTGTTTTGGAATGTCAATAGGCACCATAGATAGCCCTTTGTCTCTCCTGGTGGTGGAGAAATTGCTCCTTTGGTAGAGGGGAAAGGGTCCTAGAATTGGGACGAGTAGAGTTTCCTTTGGACCTGACAATATGTTATAACTTGAAGGCAGTTTGTTGGATTAACTTCATTTTTGTTGGGGGAAAATACTCAGTACTTTTTGGCAGAAAAAATAATTTAGTAAGTTTTCAGTTACATTTCATATTTCTTTTCTACAGGTCTAGATTTTTGAATGAAGAGTTTAATTTTTGATTTGTAAAATTATATTGATTGGTTGAGATGAGTGCCAGATTTTTGTATATAATTGCGAATCTTTTATTCATGTGAGGTTTTTAGATCCTTATTTTTTGGGAAAAAGAAATCTATACTTTATTTCAGTATTAAAAGTGGAAATCAATAGTCCATAAAACAGAACAAAACAAGAACATTGTCGCTTCTCTATCCATGCTGTGCTTGAAGATCTGATTTCAGCCACAAAGTCAAATACTCAAATATTCTAGGGCAAAGGCGTTGATTCACTGAACCATTCCTGAAGTCCTTTGTGTGTGTGCATGAGTGTGCACGCATGAGCACGTGCATGCATGTGCCTATGTATGATGTATGCATATGTGTGCAGATCACCAGCACCCTATTCCAGAACTTGGTAGCCATTTTCTTTCTTCAGTGATAATCCCTGTGCTATGGTTTTGTCCTGGGGGGTGAGTTGTAACATCAACTTTTACAAACAATTCAATCCAGACATTATATCATAATATCTATATATCTATATATCTATATCTATCTATCTATCTATCTATCTATCTATCTATCTATCTATCTAATGAGCTTAAGTGACCATGAGTTACACAATAAAAGATCTAGGAGTGTCTTAATTTTTTCTTAAGATTTATTTATTATGCATACATATTATGCATACAGTGTTCTGCCTGTCTACAAGAAGAGGGTACCAGATCTCATTATAGATGGTTGTGAGCCACCATGTGGTTGCTGGGAATTGAACTCAGGACCTCTGGAAGAGCAGCTAGTGCTCTTAACTTCCAAGCCATCTCTACAGCCCCGAGTGTCTTAATTTCAAAAGCTATGTTTGCATTGTTTTACATGAAGAAGTATTTTAAAGTGGCTTAACTACTTCATTGTTTGTTTTTTTTGAGACAGTATTACTATGTGACCCTGGAGTCTGCTATGTAGACCATGCTGGCCTCAAACTCACAGAGACCACTTGCCTTTGCCTTCCAAATTCTGGAATCAACTGTGTTTCCCACCATGCCTAGGGACTTAACTATTTTAATAATGATTAACATTAACTAGTATAGCAATAAGACATGACACCTTAGCCACACATTTAGGTGAAAATATTTCATAATTCTAGCCTGGGTCAGGTGCCATACAATTTCTTATGTAAATAACATACATAGATTCACCCAGGAAGTGACTTCTAGTCTAGGTCCAAGAATGCCCAAATTCTATATTATGAATAGGTTCTAATGACATTAAAGTCATGCTTGCATATACATATGGAGAGTTTCATGGCAACTGTGCCAACTATTCAAAGTGAAGTATGAGAAGTCTGGTCTTCTCATCTGTCCTGTATATTGCTGTGAAGCTTAGCGTGGAGAAAAACCATCACATCCTTTCACCATTCCTACGTCCTTCATTACTCCAAAGGTGAATCAAGTGAAGACTTGGGTAGCGATCTGCTGTGACATTGCTGTGTGTCAGTATGTCAACATGTTCAAGAGATAAGGAAACAGAGTAGAAATCAGACCGCAGGTGGTAAGAGCAGGAACCCTAACCTGTTTGTTTATACAGTGTATTAAAGCACTCATTCAGTCATGTGTGTGAATGCATGCAAGCGTGGTGTGTGTGTGTGTGTGTGTGTGTGTGTGTGTGTGTGAATGTGCATGTGGAGGTCAGAAGCTGACATCAGGTATCTTCTTCAGGTATAATCTCTTCCTTCCTTCCTTCACTTATTTATTTATTTATTTATTTATTTATTTATTTATTTATTTATTAGTATCTTTTATTTTTTGAGTCAGGGTCTCTCACCAAATCCAGAACTTGCTGATTTATTTAGACTGGCTGTCCAGTACACTCCAGAAACCCTCTTGTTTATGTGTCCCCAGAGCTGGGATTATAGTTGGGTGCTATCACCGTGTCCAGCTTTTTACATGAGTGCTACACACACTTTCTTGTTTGTGCCATCTCCCCAGTTCCCATCATTCATTCATTCTTGGTTCAGTTTACAATTGAAAGCCTTTTATTTACAACTGGAAGCCTTTTATATGCTAGGAACTGTGTTAAGAGTTGGAGGTGCAGCTGAAGATGCCATAGAAATACTCCTGTGTCTCATGGAATCTCTCTGTTGTGGTTAAAGACACATGAGCAACTACAGTGTGGTCTGGCAAGTTAGAAACACAAGGTGATGGAGAGATGGAGGAGGGCTCCTAAACTCAGAGTCAGAGGGAGTATGGGTTCAGCCTCAAGAATGAATGGGTGGGGACTGGAGAGTTGACCCAGTGATTAAGAGCACTTCTTGCTTTTGCAGAGGACCAAGGTTCGATTCCTAGCACCCACATGACAGCTCATAACCATGTGTAACTCCAATCCCAGGGGATCTGACACCATCTTCTCGTCTTCTCAGATATCAGGCATGGAAGTGGTACACTTACACACATAGGCTAAACACTCATACACATAAAATGAAACAAATATGTCTTTAAGTATTAAAAAATATAAAAATTTAAAGTTATAGAAATAACTTAGATTTTAATATTTAATTAAAAAATTAAACAGGGAAGCCAGGTATGGTGGTGAACACCTCTAAATCCCAGCACTCAGGTAGCAGAGGCAGGAGGATCTCTGTTAACTCTAGGCCAACCTGGTCTACATAGTGAGTTTCAGGTCAGTCAAGACTGACTATCAAAAAATTGAAAAGCAAAACCAAAAAAAGAATGAATGAATGAGGTGCAGGATAGACACATGGTTCAATGGCTAAGGTTCACACTGGCTGCTTTTCCAGAGGATCTGAGTTCAATTCCTAGCACCCACTTGGTGACTCAAATCCATCTGTAATGCCAGCTCTAGGTGGCCCAACACACTGTCTGGCCTCCGTGGGCACAAGGCGTGATGTAGTGCTCAGCCTCGCTCGCAGGCAAACACCCAGTAAAGAATGAATTAGGATTCTTTTTTTTTTTTTAATTCTGTTCACCATTCATTTAGTATTTTATTTTTAAATTTTACTTTACATACCAACCAGTTTCCCTCCCCTACTCCTCCCATTCCCTCCTCCTACTTCCCTTCTCCCCGCCCCCATCCACCTACTCCCTGTCTCCCTTCAGAAGGGGGAAGGCCTCCCATGGGCGTCAGTAAAGCATGGTATATCAAGCTGAGGCAGGACCAAGCTCCTCCCCTTTGCATCAAGGCTGGCCTAGGTTTCCCACCATAGGGATTAGGTTCCAAAGAGCTAGCTCATGTGTCAGGTATGGGTCCTGGTCCCACAAAAGACCAAGCTACACAACTGTCACCTAGATGCCGAGGGCCTAGGTTAGCCCCATGCCGGCCCCCTAGCTATCCGTCCAGAGTCCATGAGCTTCCACAAGCAGAGGTCAGCTGTCTCTGTGGATTTCTCCATCATGATCTTGACCCCACCTTGCTCATAATCTCTCCTCCCTCTCTTTGACTGGATTCCTGGAGTTCAGTCTGGTGCTTGGCTGTGGATCTCTGCATCTGCTTCCATCAGTTACCGGATGAAGGCTGTATGATGACAATTAGGGTAGTCACCAATCTGATTACAGGAGGAGGCCAGTTCCGGCTCCCTCTCCACTACTGCTAGGAGTCTTAGCTGGGGTCATCCTTTAGGCAGAAAGGTGGTGAAGCATCTTAGGAGAAGACAGAATGGGTAAAAAGGATGCTAATACAACCCTCAAAGCTGGGTGCTTCATGTGGAGGTATGAAAGTCTGACATAATCCATGAAGAAATTCATGGCTCATCAATAACTCAAGGGCAAGGAGAATCACATAAATAAAGCGGGGTTTTAGCTGAACAGTAGACCAAGCCTCTGTCTCACACTTCTCTGTATGTGTGTGTCCATGAGGTGGAGGCTGGAGATCAAAATCAAGTCTCTTCTTCAACTGCTCACCACTTTATTTATTTATTTATTTATTTGAGACAGTGTCTTTCAATGACCCTGGCACTCACCAATTTAGGTAGACTGTCCAGTCAGTGAGCCCAGAGAACCTACTGTCTTTATATCACCCCACCCTCACCCAGTGCTGGGATTGCAGGTGCATGCCACAATATTGGCATTCTCCATGGAACTGGGAATTGAATTCAGGTCCTCGAGCTTGTATATTAGCTACTTTGTGGTCTGAGTCACCTCCACCCTGAGCCAACCCCTAGCCCAGAATTTTATTCCTAAAGATAATTTATTATTACTATGCATGCATGTGTGGAGGTCAGCACAGCTACTGGTAGTCAGACCTCCAAGGGATCCAGGATTAAACTCAGGTCACTAAGTTTGTGCAGAAAATGTGTTCACCTGCCTAGCCATCTACCTGGTTCGAATTAAGAAAAGTATGTATCATCAGAGGAGAGGGAGAGAGGGAGGGAGAAGAAGGGGGAGAGGGGGAGGAGAGGGAGAGAGGGAGGGAGAGGGAGAGCTGAAATGGGTGTTACTCGGTGATGAGAGTGTAAGAAGAGAGATTTTCATTTTTTTTCTTGACTTCTTCCCACTAAAAACTGAACAACATTACAAAATTACAAACCAGCAGGGCAATACAGAAACACTCCCACAAAAGAACTATTATTTGGATCCAGATTGTGGCAAAAACACTAAGAAAACAATGCATCTTTGTTCCTTTTCTGGGAAATGCATGGTCCCTGGGAAATTGTCAAGAGGCAGGCAGGAAGGCTCTTCTGCTCTGTGGTTTTCTGCTGGTGATCAAATGTGTTATCTTCCAAGCCCATCTCTCATGCTGCACTACAGTCACCGATCCCCAAGAAAGCCTGTGTCATAACTATAGCTTCCTCAGAACCCAGTGCAACATTAGCATAGCAGAAGCTGCTTGACACAGGCTTATTGAAGAATGATGGCTGAGGTCTAACAACCACCTCCCAACATCATTAAATTGGTGATAAAAATTTTGGCAGACACATACAAAACTTCTCACTCTGTCTCTCCCCTTCTTCTTTCTGGGTCATGGAAAAGCCTTTATCACAATAGCCAAGACAGGTTTCCTAGGTCCTCTCCATGGACCTCCACACATCTAGCAGGGCTTTCTTTTGTCATTTCATTACAGGAAGGGGTGATGCCCCAAATAGATTAAATGCCCACCTCCTGGGGGACAGGGAGGACTGTGTTTCATATACCCATGGATTGTCTGAAACCTCATTAAGTGGCAAGCATATACTAGGTACTCAAAAACTCTAACAAGAAAGCAATTTTATAAACAACTAATTATTTGTTCATTTGTATCAACAAATATTTATTGAATTCCAAATTTAAGAAATTTGAACTCTGGGGCTGGAGAGTTGGCCTCCTTACTTGTCCATCACACAGCCCCACCCATAGCTCCCATACTATTATTGAGTAAAATGTCAGACTGTCAGTGTTTAAGGTGAATCCACTTTCTTTATTTCTTCTCTACCTTGTGGGCTTTCTTCTCACTATTTCCCCTTCTCTTCCCCCTCCCTCTTTCCTCTTTTCCTTTCTCTTTATATTTCTTTCCTTCTTCTATGTGTTTCTATTTGTTTGCTTTTAAGAAACCCAGGCCCTAGTTTTGCCACTCTGCTCTGGTGCCTGCCTCCACCTCCTTCCATTTTCAATCACCATCTTGCCCAAACAGCAGCATTTATAGTTCCTTTCTGAAAAGGATTTTTAAAATGCCACACAACCCTCAATCTTCACCTCAGATAATAAAACTGGCTATCCTAGTCCTATGCTGTGGCAAAATTTAATTAATAAAAAGGTTATATTTGCAGTAGCAACCAAAATTAAGTATTGGGTGTTATTTTAATGAGAGAAACCTTAAAACCCCGATAATAACAATGAGTTATTTTGGATAACCCTGATAAGCATTGAATTGTCCATGGGCCTCGCCCCTGGGTACAGTTTCCCACAAAGCAAGCTGGAACTGTTCTGATACCATTTGTACTTAGGAGCCAAGGACAGGCAGGCAGCAATGCAATGCCGGAGTGAATACGGACTATCTGGACATGGTGCCGGCATATCTTTCCCTGAAACAGAAATCTGGGTCAGATTCTCAGAGAATTTAGTTATTTCTATTTTGACCTCATGGGGAGAGATAATCTTGCAACTTTGGCCCTTTAGCAGAACAGAAAGATCGATGGCCAATTAACAGCACCCATTTGTGCACTTCTGGAAGCTTTTAACTTTCCTGAACATTACAAAATTATCCCCCTCAGCAAGTTGTGGGCGGTAGCGTGGTTTGCTCATTCCCACTGCTTTCAACCGTGTCGGACGTTGAACTTCACTCTGGCTAACAAAATGTGGCAATTCTTGTACCCTTAACACGGTGAAAGAGTTTGTGTGACTGCTTGCAGATTGCGTTTACTTATCTAGATGGAAGACTGGAGGCTGTGAAAGCCAGGGCCTCTTGCTTCATCCTGTATCCCAACAACCAGCTTATAGAGCCAGGTCAAGTCACAGAGAATCCATGAACATTTAGAGAAAAGAGTAAACCCGGGAACTCTTTAGGCAGACACAGTTGCTTGAATCTTCTGGTTAGATTGACTTAGGAAGCTGGTGCTTTTTAACTTTAGGGGCTGGGGATGGAACTCTGGACCTTGGGTAGCCCACGGAAAGTGTCCACCCCCGAGCTACATCTTCAGCCTGGGGATTTTGAAAGTATTTTTGATGTTCTCAGATCATAATTTTTCTTACTAGACCCACTCAGCTTTTTCCTGGATCCTAATATTTCGCCTATCCTAATAGTCCTCAGCTTGTGTATTGTTATTTGTTTGGCCAACTGGGTTTTGACTTATGGTTTTAGACTGAAGTGTTTCTGTTTACATATCACCCTTGAGACAGTCAGTAGAGCTGGTCTGGGGAAATTAAAAGAACTACCTGTTTACATTGACTTCCTGGATTAGAGGTTTTAACTGGAGGTGAAAGAGTTCAAGCCCTTTCCCATTCTAGTCTTGGGGAACCCACTCTTTAGGACAAGTGCCTGGAAAGATAATATTGTTTTAGCAAATCACACACTGGTGTGCGTATTTGTGGGAGGTGGGGATAGCAGTGGATAACACTCACACTTTAGATACCCACTTCACATTTAAATATTTAGAATTTCAGTAGCCTGTGACTGGAAGAGAATTTATTACAAGAAAAATGATTACCGTGCCGTGGATTCAGAGAACTGACATGTACCTGCTATTTTCTTAGTGTGAGAAATATCAAGCTGACATTACACTGTCTGTGTGATGATTGCTTCGAAATGTCAGAGTGCAAGAAACATATTCATGGGACTTCAGTGGCTCAGGATAGTGTCAATTCAAAAGACATTCACATCGACTTTTTATTTAAACATGCTAAATGAAGTATGAAAAGCAGGTTAAGGAACCAATGGAGGAAGGAAAGCAAAGCAGAAACCCACTGACCAGAAAATTTTAAGTGTGATAATAGATGGCTGAGCTTCTCCATCAGTTCCCACGGACCCCTTGCTGACAGCTCTGGCGATCGCCTCCTAAGACTGATGACAACTGGAACCACGCTGTTCATGTTATTCCATTCGTATCACACATCGAATCTGAAAAATTAAAAACAGGATGAGGGCTATTCAATTTTTGTGTGAACCATCTTAACAAATATGACAAATAACCAAATTAATATTTTCCCATCACTTTTCATAGAACATTTGACTTCAAACTAAAATTGAATAACTGAGAGATATTGTAAATTAAAAATGTATTCTGTTCCCCAAATCTCTCTAGCAGTTAATTATGAACTCGCTGAACTTGCTTGAACTGCTATTTTGGAAGTAACTCAAAGGAATTATTTTTTTCTTCCTTCTAATACAAATTGGCCACATTGTAGATAATTATGTGTTTAAATAAACTTTTATCTTTCTAATTATGTGCACAGCATGGCTCCTAATTGCCTGGGGTCACTGAAATCTTAGGGTGTCCCCAGGGAAAGCTTTTCTTGTCTATCTCGTCAGATTTCCTTTTTCTACTTGGAAGCCAATCTCTCTTCCCTTTTCAAATTCCCCTTTTTAGCAACAGAAATGATGATGGCGGTAGTAACATGGGTCAGGTGCAATTATTCAGACTTTTTGCAGAAGTCAGTGACAAGAACCCACCATGGACCCACTTAAATTCTTTGGTGCACTCACAGAAGGTTATATCTGATACAAAGCAAAGGTGTGGGACCTCCTGATCGAGCAAGCAGCTTGCACCTGCAGAATTTAAAATTTCTTATTCGAAAATACAAAGACAAGTCAAACACACAGCCAGAACCACTCACCTCATGTCATTAATTTTGTTCACTAAAATCAAAGTGGAAACAGGATGGGTTACAGATTGCTATTCTATCGTTATTGCTCATGTTTTGACGTCTAGGTCAACATTCAAAGATGGTGGCTCACCCTGAAACTTCAGGAGTCACAACGGTCATAGACACATTATGTTGTATGCATCGAATATCACCCAAACAGAACCGAAGCGAACTACTGAAAAGCTAGAGTTTATGGCCTTAGACCACCCCATGATAGCTAAGAATCTCAGTCCTCACTCTCCCTTTTGGCATAGAGGTCTCAGCCCCCAAGTTCTGCATCTTTCTGCACCTTTGGCCTTGTCTGTAATCCCAGGGTCAGTGACCAGGTCAGCACCTTGGAGGTCATTCCCAATGTCTTTTCCGGACCTCCCTGACCTTGAGGGTCAGTAACAGCAACAGGAGGGTGGAGAGTTTGTGTTTTGCTCACTGTGAGATCTCGGACACAAAGTTCAAAAGCCCCGACAAGGGCTCACCTTGGTTGGCCTTTCTTGTTTGCTTAGGTTTCTTTTACTCTCCCGGCCTCCAGTCTAAGATAGGTGAAGCATGGTGGGGTGGCAGAGTGGGTGTTTTAGTAGAGAACTCTCTGGAAAGCAGCAGGGGGGCTGCGTGGTCCTCAGGGACAAAAACTGGAGCGAAGGAGCTTTAATAAGTAGAAGGACCTGGGAGGAGCTTCCAGGCATTCTCCCCGAGACCAGACACGCCCACCTCCCACCCCGCCCCGCCCCAC